CCTAATCCTGGTTTAACCTAAGCCCTGTCTGTGAAACCAGGCCTAGATGTTTATTATCCATCAGGGAGAGACAAAATAATATAAAAGTAATACAAAATGAACCAAAAAAAAAAACAATTCATCTCAAACTTCAAAAACAACCACCTTTAGAAATCACAACTAGCTTCATGTTTGCATGATTGATTGATTTTTAAGTATAGCTTTTCTCAAGAAACCTAACATGTTAAGGTTTACATTGCATTAAATACAAATTAAGTACACTAAATATAGTAGCTGAGGGGAAAAATATGGCTAAATTGATATTAGTACAAAGTAATTTAAATGTTTGACTCTTAAAATTCAAGAAAAAAATCAAAAGAGAAATAAATAAAAATGGAAACCTGTAAAATGTACTGGACAGTAATTCTTGTCTCCAAGTCAACAATACATTCCACTTTAGACTTGACAAAATAATTAACATCTACACACATACAGAGTGCCTTTGTACACATGGCACAGGGTTTGGTTCAATTCACAAATTTACCAAGCACCACACACAACTCACTATACAAAGACCACTATCTGTTTCTCTACTGGCATCTTTCCACTCATTTAACTTTACAGTATGAACAAGGCTTTATCTACTGTTGGGATACACAGGCATGAAGATCAGGGCACAAAAAAACATGGCGGGTCTTGGAAAGGACAGTGACCTTAGCTTTTGCTGGTGCGGCTGAAATATAACATTCACACTTGTTGATGTGATCAAATCATGCATGACAGATATCGATATTGCTTCTGTCAATGTTTTCTTATTTGACTACTGCCAGAAAACAAACCGGTAAATTTTACACATCCAGTCCACTTGAGGGCACAAGAGGACTATGGGTGTCAGTTAGGGATGAAACCTTAGCCAAAGCTTTGGACAGGAAGTCCCGTCTTCAAGCCCCACAATAGTGTGCTAAACATCACATTGTGGAACAAGCTACATTCAAAACATCCAAATACACACATTATCGAAATTTCAACAAAAAGCACATAGAAAAACTCCCCAAACATACATGAATAGTATCACTCATGGGCGTATTGATGTTTCACAGTTCTTGAAATGATTGCAAGTATTTTACAAGCCTTGATACAGACATTGAGATGACATATTACATATACTGTACACTATTATTTTAAACTATTTCATACTCTATTTTCATATAACTATGACCCAGTTTCTCAGTCAAGCATCTATTCATCACTAGCTCCTCAGACTGTAAATTCCATTGAATTGGAACAACAAATCTAAATAAATTCTTTACTGTATATAACAAATCCACAATTTTCAGGTCCGAAAGAGTTGAAATAATCTCTAGATATCTGTAATTCAGGAATTTCACACAGAAATTGCTTGTCGATGCATAATAGAGAAAATATTTTCAGAAAATGTAAAGAAAAATTGTTAGACGTGGACATAATGTTGGAGAGATGCAAAGGACTACAGTACATCACTATGAGAGTAATTAATAAATAATATGCTACCATACTGTATACTGTACTTGAGACCATATTACTTCATAATATGCTTTACTTGTAGGGTTTAACCCAGTGAGGAATAAACCACCCAGAAGCCATATTTTACAGAAATTACTGAAATTCAATCTGAGATTATACGCAAACCAACAGATACGATTTCTGAGACAATGAGAACATTAAAATATCAGCCTTCATCGCAGATTCAGATCATAATGGATTGAAATATATATAACAAGTCTGTAGCTAAGAGCAGATTAAATACATACTCTATTCAAGAGCGTTCAAATCAATTATTGTACAACATGTACATGTACAAATATTTCGTCCAATCAATTTCGTTAGCCGAACCTCAGCTACAGTACATCAGCAGTAAAATGAGACGATTAAATCCTGAGGTAAAGAAAACAATGTTAATAAACACAACTACATTCACTAAAATGTCAACAACCTTTAACACAAACGAAAATACGACGCGAATACACACAAACTAAACCAACATAAACGTATGGCTTTCCTTGTACCTTCACAGAAAATGAAAACAAACTTTCTTTGTACTTGCACTTGATGTAAAGTGCTCAACAGAAACAATGTAATGTTTATAATCTTCCCAGCAAACAAAAATATGTTCTAAGAACGTTTTGCTAATGTTCCCATTAAGTTGTGTAAACGGTATTTCTGAATGTTCTCTGAATGTTCAAAATTTAGTTTTTTAAATGTTTTAAAAAACGTTTCTTAGTTAGACAAAACGGAACATTTTGCAAACATTATGGGAATGTGTTCCCTGAACATTCTGAAACAAGTAGTAATGTTTAAAAAACGTTAGACGAATGTCCAACTAAAACGTTTTAGAAGAAAAACGTTCCATGAATGGTGTATGAATAACACTGTGCTAACATTCGAGAACATTATTAAAGACCAGATAACTTTGAACGAACATTGAACGTTACTAGAACGTTTGTTTATAACTTTGAGAGAACATTACCAAAGTTCTCAGAACGTTCCCTGTTAACTGGGTTTATACTTTTTCAACTGCAGGATCAAGTAAATACCAGTCAATTTACTTCCAAAAGCTGATCATTTCTACTCTTTGTGCATAAAACGTACGTTTATTTGTAAGATGTGAGAGTAAAGATGCGTTTGCTAAATAGTGGAAATGTGTTCTTGAATACTAACAGCCAAACAAAACATAGAACTGGCTTGCAAATGCCACACTGACGAATCTGAGAATCTAGTTACTATAGAAACATAGTGAGCGTTGGAATGTTTCCTTACTGGTGGTCTAGTTCAGCCATGTTTGAAACACTACATTAAATCTGCCGTAATACCACATGGCAAGACTGATATTTTCCTATTGAGGGGTTCTAAATACCGAAAGCAACTCCTTAAACTATCACACACTTGTAAAACAGTTTAAGTAAAAGCTTATGTATTGTTGTACTGGTGGAAACTTGTTTGAATTCAAATGGTCTTATATCTTTCCTTTCTCCCTTCCCCCATTTCAACCACTGACTTTATCCCTCTGGAACGCCCCCTCCAAATACCCTGTTTCTGTCCCCTCCCCCCATTGTGGCTGAAAAGGATCTACATTGGCTCATCATAGTTGTAAGTTGGGGCAGCCGAGTACTGTTGACCCTGCATGGCCCCCTGTGCAGCCCCCATAGCTGCCTGCTGTGCTGCCTGTTGGACGTGAGGGTTCTTCCAAGCGCCGGTGGTCCATTCTTCCTGAGCCTTGCTCATGCTGCCCCCGCTGCCACGGTACAAGTTGTGAACCTGAGAGAGAAGACAATTTCATTTCTCAAAAGTTGACCTTTTATAGCTCAGCAGATCACGTGTTCTAACCAGGCGACAATTAATTTATCCAATTTGACAAAATCAGAATATATTTGATGTTCAATATACAGACTTGCTTTCATTTAATCATTGACTTTGCTACAAAATATCTACTTTGCTCAGGAATCCTAAGAAAAACAGACCAAAAATTAGATAATTGTCAGCATTTAGAGGATAGAGCTATAAAATTATAAATAAGGGATATTTAAAATGTGGCTGACATGTAAGCCAGTAATTATTTTCACAGAACCAATAAATGGCAAATATTTAATAATAATAATATTAATAACAACAATTGTCCAAAATAATCTAAAGACACTTGTTAAAGACTACTGTTACTAGTGTTTTTAAAGATTAAAAATAGTATCTGATATGTAAGCCAATAATTAATTTCATACAACCAATAACTGATAAATGGCTGATATTAAAAAAATTATTCTATAATATTTTGTCTAAAGTAATAATAAAAACACTCACTAAAATCAAACGTTTTAGATGTTTTAAAGTGAAATTGGGCATCACAACATTATGTACAGTATAAAAATGGTTATTCATTTCCATTACTGTTAAAGATTACTGTTATTAGATTATTAGTGTTTTTAAAGATTAAAAATAGTGGCCAATACGTAAGCCAATAATTATTTTCATAGAACCAATAACCGATAAATGGAGGATATTAAATAAAAAATAATAATAAAAACATTTTATAATATATTTTGTCTAAAATAACAAAAAACACACTGTTAAATGTTTTAAAGCAAAATTACTTATGACAACATTATAATGTACAGTATAAAAATGTATATTAATTTCAATAATTGTTAACGATTACTGTTACTAAATTGTGTATAATTAAATATTGTGGCTGATATGCCAGTAATTATTTTCATACAACAAATAATAAATAAATTGCAGATATTAATATTTTTTTAAAAATTTACATTTAAAAACTTTTTTAGTAGTTTTTAAATGTGCACAAGACCCTCTTCAGAAACTCTGCAAGAAAAACTGTACAGGAAAAAAAGAGAAGTAGGAGAGTACTGTAATGTTAATCAACAAAAAAACAATATTGTTAATATTAAGGTATTACCCTCAACATAAATTAGAAATTGCTTGAATTTCAGGAAATATCATGAGACCTTTGTATATTCAAGACAATAATGATGGAGGAACAGTAAGGGGTACCTTGGTGAGCGCAATGAATGAGAGAGCAGCCACAGCAGTGAACATTATGGTTGGAATCAGCATAACAACAGCAGAGCCAATATTAGTGCTGAAAAAAGTGATGGTGGCCAGCCAGCCACTGTAATACAAGTACATAAAGAAGACATATTCTCCTCATTAACATGGTAGTTAGAAAGTAAACTACATGAAAAGACTATAAATTCAGAATATGGCATGACATCCTAATGAAATCTAAACAGACTATAATATATGTGCGCTAAAAATATTATGTGACGCAAGAGAGTATATGAGTCATTTGAGTTTCTATAGGGTAACTCAACTGGAACTGACCCAGATTTGCTGTATCTATCTACACTACTGTTGGGTTGAAAATAACCCAGTTTGGGTTGTTTTGCAAACCACTGCTGGGTTAAATATGGACACACCCAAACGTGGGTTACTTTGACCTAGCATGTTGAGTTGTTTATTTAATCCACCATAATGGTTTATCTATCTATCATCCATCCAATCTCTTAAACACTATGAGCAGTTCTTACCACACTCCCCATCCTGGGATTCCAACACTCTGGATGATACTAATTACCACTTGCGCCATGAAGACAAAAAAGAACGCCATGAAGTTGAAAGAACTGTCCGTCCTGTGAAAGAAAAAGTGAACTGCATTCGGGTTGTGCACAATGACACGATTACAACTCAAAGACTATTTTAATACATCTCGGAATGCCACAGCTCATCATTAATTGAACTCACTTGAAGGCCTTGTAGATGGGCCTAAACCAGCACACATATGAGCATGGGGTAAACAGTATCAGCCACAGAATGGCCATCCCAAAATTGGTTGCCCCGCCCCCTCCGCACATCCATGCTAGACAGCCAATCAGGTTCACTGCTAGGGTGGCACTATTCACTGTGAGGGGGAAAAAACAGAAAGAATTTCATTAAAAAACCTAATTTAATTTCGTTATAATGAATGTCTAAATATCATTTATATGTAAATATTGTATTTGTTTCATAATTTGATGGATACATTACAAGGAAAACTGAAATTTAATCTAAATTAAATCTACTGGAAAAGGGCAGATACCAAAAAATGTGCACATGTATGACATACAATGACTAAAATCTAATTGCTAAGTAATCAACCTCAAATCTAGAATTCATTTGAGATACTAATACAAATGTTCATTTATCTCAGCAAACCATTAGTTCCCATTAGTGTGCTAATAAATAAAAGGACTTTTGTGAATATCCTACACTGCAAAAGCAAACCTAATGCTTGTGATTCTCGTTATAGCATAGTAAACTGGACAATAACACAAGAGTAATATGACACCCCACATTTTTACTTGTGGACTGACAGATCAACAAGTTTTTGTGTGTCTGTTTCTCTCAGTGTTTACACTGAAAACAAAGGTGACACTTTAATGGCAAATAAAGCCACATGATTGCAATCTACTCAGTGCAGACACCACAATGAGCATAAAATTACATGCACTGAGAATATCACAAAATTATATAAAAAATGCTGAAATATTTTTATCAACGTACATATCCATAGGTAATACAGTCGTTTGCACAATGTACGCTGGTGGTCTGGGATCTCGTTGAAGTCTTGGTAAAAACATGGTTTCAGTGGAATGAACCGTGGAAGAGGAGGGAAATTATTTTCTGTGGGGAAAAACACAAATTAAAGTCCTGGTTCACCAACAAAACTAATAAAACATGCCATAGTACTTTGGTCATGTACCATGATAGGACCATGCAATTCCTTGAAATACCTTACAGTACCATTTAAATACTATGGTACTTGAATATGTTAACAATTCAGTTTGGTTTAAGAAAGTTACACGCTCTCACCTGCCATGGAGATTCTTTTTTCAGATCACCAACGTCAAACTTTAATATTTAAAAACCTGTTAAAACACACATTACAGACACACAACAAATTCACACACTGCAATGAAAGGAGTGCAAGGAGTGCTCATAATAGGCTACAAAAGGTTATAACCTCACTATCCAATATATTCCAGTGTGAAAGGGAAGCTTGCCTTTGGTTAGTAAAACGGCCTGGTAACAATGAAATAACTTAGAGTAAACACAACTTAGCACACAAGCTAGATCCAGCATCCCTACTAAAGGGAATGATTCCTTATTCAGTATTACAAACTTAACACTTATAAACCTTAAGCAGCCTGCAACACTGATAAGCACATTATTTTTGGAATTATTAATATTCTGATAATACAACGGCTTGTTAGTAATTTATATATTTAAAAAAAACAGCGCCCTCAAAAATCGATTTGAAGCATTACTTTGTGTTTGTAGAACAAAAGGTAAAAATATCTTCAAGTAATGTTTATCACAAAAACGAATTTATAAATCCAAAGCTAACAACTCTTAAAACTATTTCTAAAAACCCACAGGAAATTCCCAATTTTTTTTACACCTTCTGTTTAGAGATTCACATAATGCATTAATTCACTGTGAATATTCCATTAATTCCAGATTAATAGTCCAAGTTCTGACTACTAACATTTTTATAAAACGCTGTTTTAATGTTTTTATGACAATCAGATTAATGCATTTGCATGACGCTAAAAATGTAATATTGCTCAATTTTGAGTAATATTGGAATATTTTCAAACATGAAAAATAGTGATTGTCACACTGTAACTGGATTGTTATTATCATTACCTCTCATTTGCTGCTCGAAATTAATAAGGAATACAGGTTTATGAGGCCTGGTAACTGCATCCTCCATTATTTGACCATATTCATCTGTCAAGACGACACGATTAGAGTTAATAGAATAAAGAATGATTCGAACAATTCGAACATTTAACGAGTCATTTGGTAACGATTATTATAAACCATTTGTAGCGAATATTCACAAATGTTTATTCGTAGCGACTACACTTTTAATAATTTATTATGTAGCGTTTATTCGCAGTGATTATTATGAACCCTTTATTCGTAGCGATTATTATCAACCCTTTATTCGCAGCGATTATTATGAACCATTTATTCATAGCGATTATTATCAACCCTTTATTCGTAGCGATTATTATCGACCCTTTATTCGTAGCGATTATTATCAACCCTTTATCCGTAGCGATTATTTTCAACCCTTTATCCGTAGCGATTATTGTCAACCCTTTATTCGTAGCGATTATTATCAACCCTTTATTCGCAGCGATTATT